CTGCGAGCCCCCGACATCCTTCTGCTCTCTGCCGGTGGAGCCAGGAGCCTTGGGAATAGTGCAGTAGGAGCAATGGCTTCCCGGTGCCTCCCAATGCCTCCCAGTTCTTCCCAGTGCCTCCCATTGCTTCCCAGCCTGCAAGCCCCGGACACTCCAGCAGTGTGGGTGTGGGTTTGGGGCTGCACCCACCCCACCTCCAGCACAGCTCTTTTAACCTGGAACCTGCTTTGTGCGGGCTACTCCATGATCATGATGGCTTTTTGTAGGGGAGAGAGACAGAAATGAGCTGTGGGGGAGGTTTGTCAGCAGGGCAGAGCCCAAGGTTGGACTGAAAGCTCCATGTGGAGTAGGAGCAGATGCCAGGGGCTGTGTGGTGTGTGGGTTGCACAGGTGTCCTGTGTTTTGGGGCAGAGGGGACAGTGCAGGTGTGATTGGCTGTCATTTCCCACCCCCTCATGCTCATGTGCCAGAAGAAGCTGGCTCAGCAGGTTTTTAGTCCTCAGGGGCCAGAGTCTTCTGAGGCCACAGAATCTGCAGTCCAGGACTCCAGCTGCTTGTGCAACTGTGTGTTGTTGGGGCTCAGGACCTCTCACAGAGCCCCAAACAGAAGTTGGAGCAGCTCTGGGTGTTGTGTGGAGTTGCTGCTGAGCTTGTGTGTCCCCTGTGCTTAATTTGCTGGGGAAAATCTTACTCTTAATGAGCCACAGGGGTGGCACGTGACAAACCCTGAGCTGCAGAGCTGCTCTGTTTCACAGCCTGACACCTGGCTGCTCTGTCCTTGCCCTTTTGCCCACTGACTCTTTGGATTTAAAGGGCAATTATGCCTGGGCTTATGCCAAAAAAAGCCTTGCTGGGGTCCAACCTTTGTCCTTGCCCTGCAGAGAGGTTGCCTGGGCCGTGCTGATCCATGGCAGCCCACGCAGGTACCTGGGCTCAGCCTGCCCAGCGTGCTGGGTTACACCATGCAGGAGCTTTCCCTGGCTACCCCAGGGCTAGCAGGCTGCAGCCAGGCTCTCTCAGGTGGTTTTTTGTCCTTTCAGGCCTCGAAGAAGCTGGTGGCAGCCACAGGGCAGCAGTGCCTGCCCCTGTGCATGGACGTGCGGCAGCCGCAGACTATTGCAGCCGCGGTGGATGAGGCACTGCGGGAGTTCCAGAGGATCGACATCCTCATCAATGGTGAGGCTGCACAGGGCACTGCTTTGGCAGCAGTTTGGGCTCCCTGATGCCAGGATGGAATGTGCTTCCCCTAAACTCTGCCCTGCCTGAGGGGTTGGCTCTTGGAGTCCATCAGCAGACTGCTGGTGCAGCTGCAGAGGATGGGAAAGGAACTCTTGGACTAAGTCCAGAGGCCATGGAGATGCTCCAAGGGCTGGAGCCCCTCTGCACTATCCCTCCTACTCCACTATTCCCAGGGCTCCCAGCTGTCTGGGCTCACTGCTGGGCAGGGTGTTTTCCCGGGGGCTCAGAGGAAGCAGAGATCTGTGTGTGGTGCATGGCCATCCCTGTTTGTCTGGGTGTGGATCATCCCTGCTGCCCTCGTGCTGGCTGTGCTGCTGGGCACCCAGAGCCACCAGTTTATCCCTCAGCAGGGCTGTCTCCATGCATGCAGACATTGTCCCTCACCCTCCCTGTCCCACAAGGGCCCTGACACCTGTCCCAGCCCTGACTGTCTGTCCCTGTGCTTCAGGTGCTGCAGGGAATTTCCTGTGCCCAGCCAGTGCCCTGTCCTTCAATGCCTTCAAGACAGTGATCGACATCGACACCCTGGGCACCTTCAACACCTCCAAGGTGCTCTTTGAGAAATATTTCCGGGTAAGTGGCACAGGGGGTCTGAGGAGAGGCTCTGCTAGGCAGGGGTAGTGTCAAACCCCACTGTGCTCCTGGGGAAATCAGGGAAGTGCAAGGACCCAGAGCCTCCCTGCACAGATCCGCTCTGTTCCCTGCCTGGGATCCCAGCCCTGACCTGGGGCTCCTCCTGTCCCTTGCCCCAGGGCTTTGTGCTGTTGCAGCACCTTTCCATGCTGTGCCACCTGGAGGAGCTGATCTCCTGCTGCCTTTCCAGCTCTGCCATTTTCCCTTGGCCTTTCCTTCTACCCTGCATGTCCCATCTCTCCTGCTGGCTGCCCCACCCCTAAGATTCATCAGAGCTGCCCCAGTGATGGCTCAGCAGTGCCTGTGGGTGACTGTCCCTCCAAACCCAGCTCTCCTGTCCCTCAGAGCCCTCTGTGAGCCTTTGTGCTGCTCCCTGCCTAACTCACATCTCCTTTCCTTCCCCAGGACCACGGCGGGCTCATCGTTAACATCACGGCCACCCTGAGCTACCGAGGGCAGGCCCTGCAGGTGCACGCTGGGGCTGCCAAGGCTGCCATAGGTACCTGCACACACCCTGCTGGGGCTCTGAGCCACAAAAGAAGCCACTCCTTCCTAAATACTGGCATGGAAGATACTGTGATGGTGCTCACAGGGGTCCCAGGATGAGGGAAGAGATGAGGATCTGACTCCATGTTTCAGAAGGCTTAATTTATTATTTTATGATATATATTACATTAAAATGATACTAAAAGAATAGAAGAAAGGATTTCATGAGAAGGCTAGCTAAGAATAGAACAGGAAGGAATGATAGCAAAGGCTTGTGGCTCGGACAGAGAGCCCAAGTCAGCTGACTGTGATTGGCCATTAATCAGAAACAACCACATGAGACCAATCACAGATGCACCTGTTGCATTCCACAGCAGCAGATAATCAATGTTTACATTTTGTTCCTGAGGCCTCTCAGCTTCTCAGGAGGAAAAATCCTAAGGAAAGAATTCTTCATAAAAAATGTCTGCAACAAGATACCTTGGGGAGGGGCAAGGGGGGTGAATTGGTGTGGGTGCTGCATGCCTGGCTTTGGGATGAGGCTTTTCTCCCCTCCAGGGCTCTTTGCTCTCAGCCACACTGTTCTGTGACATTTTTCCCCCTCCCAAGAAGTTTCTGGCGTGGCTGTGCTCCCTGTTTCTCAGTGCTGTTGCAATCCCTCCCCAGATGCCATGACCCGTCACCTTGCCGTGGAGTGGGGACCCAACAACATCCGTGTGAACAGCCTGGCCCCCGGCCCCATCACGGGCACCGAGGGCTTCCGACGCCTGGGTGAGGCACCTGGGCTCCCAGCCCTGCCCTGGCACTGCCCTGGCACTGCCCTGCTGGGAGGGGACTGGGAGGGACCCCCAGTGCCACACAGCTCGTGGGGATTGCTGCTGTGCTGTGCCTTGGCTGGCACAGCTCTGTGGGAACAGCCCTTCCCACACCCCTGGTACCTCCCAGGGCACTGCTTTGGCAGCAGTTTGGGCTCCCTGATGCCATGATGGAATGTGCTCCCCCAAAACTCTGCCCTGCCTGAGGGGTTGGCTCTTGTAGTCCGTCAGCAGAGTGCTGGTGCAGCCCCAGAGGATAGGAAAGACCTGGAACTCTTAGAGTGGGTCCAGAGGCCATGGAGATGCTCCAAGGGTTAGAGCTGCTCTGCTCTGGAGCCATGGAGACCTCAGAGCCCCTGCCAGGGCCTGAAGGGGCTCCAGGAGAGCTGCAGAGGGACTGGGGACAAGGGATGGAGGGACAGGACACAGGGAATGGCTCCCACTGCCAGAGGGCAGGGATGGATGGGATATTGGGAATTGGGAATTGTTCCCTGGGAGGGTGGGCAGGCCCTGGCACAGGGTGCCCACCCTGGATCCCTGGCAGTGCCCAAGGCCAGGCTGGGCAGGGCTGGGAGCAGCCTGGGACAGTGGGAGGTGTCCCTGCCATGGCAGTGGAGGAGGAGAAGGAGAGATCCCTCCCAACCCCAACCATTCCATGGTTCTAAAGCTTTCTGAGGTCCTTGGGCTCTCTGGGTCAGTACAAAATCCCTGCTGGGCTTGGTGATTTATTTAAACCTTCCTCATTTAAATCTTCCCAGGTTTTTATCCCAGGGCTGTGCCAGGATCTCACCCCAGTTCCCTGGAGCACTCAGCCATCCCCACAGGCAGTGCTGCAGTGCCTGCCCAGCCATGGTGGTGGACAATCTTCCCATGGTCCAAACTGACTTTTCCCTGCTCCTTTTTAGGTGGGAAATTTGCAGAGAAGTCCAACCAGCTGTCGGCGATCCCGCTGCAGCGCGCGGGGAACAAGACGGAGATCGCGCACAGCGCGCTCTACCTGGCCAGCCCCCTCTCGTCCTACGTCACCGGCACCACCCTGGTCGTGGACGGGGGCAGCTGGCTCACCTCCCCCAACAGCTTCTCTGCCTTGCTGGGTATTGCCTCCTCCTCTGCTAAACTCTAGGTGACTGCATTTCCCCCTCGTGGGATTGGAGCAGGGCTCTTCAGGGAATCCCTGCTGTTCCCTGGGGCTCAGGGGCTGTGAGGAGGGGCTGAGGGAGCTGGGAAGGGGCTCAGCCTGGAGAAAAGGAGGCTCAGGGGGGACCTTGTGGCTCTGCACAGCTCCTGACAGGAGGGGACAGCTGGGGGGGTCGGGCTGTGCTTCCAGGGAACAGGGACAGGACAAAGGGACACAGCCCCAGCCTGTGCCAGGGGAGGTGTAGGTTGGGTATTAGAGAAAATTTCTTCATGGAAGGGATGGTCAAGTGATATAATAGTCTCCTTGAGCCAGGTCTTATAAGCTCTTGGAGATCTATATCACCCCTGAGATAGCTCAGCCCCCTCAGATGGCCTAAAATCAGCAGGATGGCTTCTGTGGTAGTGTTGGAGACAGAAAAGTTTTAAGAAAAGGCAAAATAACAAAGCTCTTTACAGAAAATATAAACCAGGTGCAAGAGGTTGTTGCCCCTGGTAAAACACCCCACAAAAGCCATTAGTTCTTTTGTTGTCTTCTTTTTCTAGTAAATTGCTCAGGGGGTACTTTTTGGCTCCTGTCCAATAGGCCATCCTTAAATTTGAGGTGAAGTCCCCCATGTCCTATGAAGTGTCTTTTTACCTGATCGAGGAGAAAAACTTTTGGCCTTTTTTCCTTTCTAAGGACACAAAGGACAATTTTGTCAGTCGGTCAACAGGGGGCACATTCCTACAGTCAGGCACAGGCACAGCTGCCCAGGGCAGTGGAGGAATCCCCATCTCTGGGGGGATTTAAAAACCATGTGGATGTGGCACCTGGGGACATGGGTTAGTGATGGCCCTGGCAGTGCTGGGGGAGCAGTTGGATTTATTGGTCTTAGAGGGATTTTCCTACTTAAATGATGATTTTTAACCATGATTCTCCTGGGGCACGGCTGCTGCAGCAGTGGCTACAGTGTCCTCATGGCCAGTCCTTGGGATGAGCAGAACCTACTGGATTTTCCCTTTGAGCCTGGCTTGTGACATGGTGTCTTTTGGACACTGAGATTCCCCCAGAGCAACCTGATGCCCATTTTCTGTGCCCCAGCAGCAAGATTGAGCACAAAGAGTCCCAGGAACCTCTTCCTTCCATGGATTCCTGCAGCCTGGCAGGGAAGGGGTGTCCTGCCTTCCTCCTGGGAGCGTCCCTGAGCTGGGCAGGCCCCAGCAGGGCTCTGTCCCCACCTCCACCCTCTCTTGCAGATGTGTGGGCTGCAGGAGCAAACCAACCCCACTGATGGACAGCCTGGGACTGACCGACGGACAGACGTGACCTGGGACACCATGTGGGGACATCTCCAGAGCCAGTGCCGACACCACAGCCTCTGGTGGCACTGCCAGTCCTGTGTCTGCCTGGGGGACACAGCTCTGGGGTGCTGGCTGGGGACCAAGCCCACCCTGTGCCATTGCTGCCCTCTGAGCTGCTGGGGCCGTGACACAGAGACAGCTTGGAGGGCTGAGATGGTCTCTGGCCCTTTGTGGCTCCCTCCAAGCTGCTCCTGTGGCCTTTGCCAAGCCCCAGCAGTGCCACCATGGGTACCCATCCTCTTCCTCCCCTGTCTTAGCCTGAGCACTGCACAGGAGCCCCAGCAGCAGCAGCAGCTCATTTTTGGGAGGGGGATTGCTCAGCCTGCCTGGGGTTGGGGTCACCCAGTGTGGGGGGCTCAGTTCTGCCTTGGCAACTCCTGGCAGGGGAAACCCTGGCAGGGGGAGGTGGCTGTGTCCCCTGAGGGGTCCTGGCTGGGACGGTGCTGTGTCCCCTGAGGGGTCCTGGCTGGGACGGTGCTGTGTCCCCTGAGGGGTCCTGGCTGGGACAGTGCTCCCAGGAGAGTGCCAGGGATGCAGCTGGGGTGCCCCTCTCCTGGGAGCAGAGGTGGTGTGAGGGCAGATCCCCCAGCCCAGCTGTGCACTGTGTGTCCAGTGGTCTGTCCACAGTCTGTCACATCAGTGTCACACAGTGTCCTGCAGGCACTCAGGCTGAGACCAAGCGAAGGGCTAGAATTGGAATGCAATCCTTTCCTCCTGCCACAGGAGCTGCAGGATGGCACTGCTGGAGCCAGCCCTGTCCCTGGTGCCCTGGGGGCACACACTGCTCGTGTGCACCCTCCTGCTGCTGCTGGTAGATTTAGGCTCACCCTGGATTCAATGAAGCTTGTTCTCCCACTTAATTGTATTTCCTACTTGATTGTAGACTTGCCAGGTTTTACTCCTGCCTCCAGGCCACAAATAAAGAACTTGCCCCCTGGAGCAGTGATGCCTCTCTGTGCACGAGCACCAGTGCCCTGCCCAGCTCACTGCTCCAAACTGAGCACTAAGGGAGGGGAAGAGCCACTGCTCCCACTGCCAGTGCCCTGGGTGGCTCCAGTCCTTGGCTCTGTGGTGCCCAAGGCCCCAGGCCAGGGGCTTGGGGACCTGCCAGCTGCTCAGCCCCTGCTCTGGGGTTCCAGCAGCAGAGGGAGGTGCTGAGGGCTTTGGTGAGAGGCTCAGCCCTGCAGGGGGATGGATGGGGATGCAGTGCTTGGGCTGGGATCTGGGTGCATCCATTGCCTGGGCTCTTGGGACTTGGCTCTGGCTGCAGTATCGCTCTTGCTGGATCCCAGGATGTGTTCTCTCCTGGAGAAGGTGCTTGTGTGGTGTGTGCTGGCCCTCCTGCCCAGCTGCAGCCTCATCTCTGACCTGCAGCCCTGCTCTGGGAGGCTCCATGGATTTCACTGTTCCACCATCACCAGGTGATTTGGGCACTCAGGGCTGTCCTGGCCACCCCAGGAGGAGGGAGCTGAGCTTGGCCACGTGTCCCCAGCACCAGGGACAGGACAGAGCTCTGGGCCCAGCCTGGAGCTGCAGGAGCCCGTGCAGGGCTGCAGAGCTGCCTCTCACAGCATTGGGCTGTCACCTGCAGCCCTGCAGGGACCTCAATCCCTGCCAGCCCCATCCAGGGCTGTCACCTCCATCTCCGTCCTGGGACCTCCTTCCCTGCCAGCCCCATCCTGGGCTGTCACCTCCTGCCCTGCAGGCACCTCCAGCCCCATCCATGCAGGAACCCACACACGGCCTGAGCTGTCTGGGAACTGGGAATGGTATTGCCCAAGGGATTTTGCAGGGGATGCCTGAGGCTTCCCCCCCGTGGGAGAGAGCCAGGAGCTCTCTCCTGCCCTGCTCACCTTTTAGGAATGGCTGTGCTGAGGAAGAGGATTTGGAGTGAAGGTTTCCATCCTTCCAGCACTGGGCTGAAGGACAGGGGTGACATCCTCCCTGGGGATGCTGCTGAGCTCTGGCTCTCGGGGCTGAGTGTGCTCAGGGACACATGGTGGCCCAACCAGGCTGCTCCTGAGATGTCACACACTGTTTGTGCCCCGGGCAGGGTCACTGGGGCCAGGGATGCTCTTGCTCATCAAGTTTGCTGCTAATTATACCCAGGGGCTGTAATTCCACCTGCTGGGCCAGCTCAGGGCTGTGTTAGCAGGGCCATCCCGGTGCTCCAGCAGAAACTGCGGCTGCCCAGAGCCTGCAGGCTGTGAGCCCTAAGCACGGGCATTAATTAATGAATTAACCCATTGAGGGTCCCAGGGGTGTCCCGGTGCTCGGTTCCCCCCTGGAGCAGCTCAGGCATCCCGGGGCACACAGTGCTGCCCCACTGGGGTTGGGGATCCCAAAGCAGGGCTCATCTCCCCGGGGGGATTTGGGGCTCACACCTGGAGCAGCTGGGCAGTCCTGTTGCACAGATCCCCTCACAGGCGTTTGAGGTCCCAGAGCATGGTTTGGTTTTGGGGTCCTGGAGCACAGTTTGGGTTTGGGGTCCCAGGGCACGGTTTGGGTTTGGGGTCTTGGAGCGCAGTCTGGGTTTTGGGTCCTGTAGCACTGTTTGGGGTTGGGGTCATGGAGCGTGGTTTGGTTTAGGGTCCTGGAGCACAGTTTGGGGTTGGAGTTCCGGAGCGTGGCTTGGGGTCCCAGAGCACAGTTTGGGTTTGGGGTCCTGGAGTGTGAATTGGGTTTGTGTTTGGGGTCCCAAAGCACAGTTTGGGGTCCTGGAGCGCAGTTTGGGTTTTTGGCCCCGGAGCACGGTTTGGGGTTCCGGAGCACGGTTTGGGGTCACGGAGCACGGTTTGAGTTTGAGGTTTGGGGTCCCAGAGCATGGTTTGGGGTTCGGGGTCCCAGAGTGCGGTTTGGGTTTGTGTTTGGGGTCCCGGAGCACGGTTTGAGTTTGAGGGTTGGGGTCCCGGGCACGGTTTCCCAGCCGGGGGCTTTGGGGGTCCCCATTCACGGCGCCCCCCTGGTCCCACGTGCTCGCGCTCCGCCGGCCCCGCCCCTCTCCGCCGGCCCCGCCCCCGCCGCGCGCGAGCCAGGCAGGGGGCGTGGCCTCAGCACGGGCTCGCGCCGCGGAGGGGCGGGGCCAACAGGACCGGCAGGCGAGTGACGTCACCGCCCCGGCTACTGCGGCGGCGGCCGGGCTGGAGCTGCCGCTTGTCCGCGGGCGGCCCCGGAGCGGCGGCGAGGGCGGGCGGGCCGCGGGGCTGTTCCTCGGTGCCGCCGCCGCCTCCCCTAATCCCCGGTCCCGGGCAGGACCCGCGGCCCCGGCGCTCGGAGCCGCCGCTCCCCGAGCAGGGCGGGACCGGCGGGGCCGCCCCCGGTGTCGGCGGGCGGGGCCGGCGTTCCTCGCACAAAGCCGTGAGTGCCGCGGAGACCGCACCGGTACCGGCACCGCCCCGATGTGAGCGGGGCATGGCCGCGGGGCATGGCCCGGGGCGGGCGGCGGCGGGCGCGGAGCGCCGGCGGTGAAGATGGAGCCGCGTCCGCCTGGGACCGAGCCCCCGCTGCCCCGGGGGCCGGGACCGGGGCCCGAGCCAGAGCTGGAACCGGAGCCGGAGTTGGAACCAGAACCGGAGCCAGTGCTGGACCTAGAACCCGAGCTGGACCTGGAACCGGAGCCGGACCTGGACTTGCAACGGGAACCGGAGCCGGAGCTGGGACCAGAACCGGAGCCAGAGCTGGACCTGTACCCGGAGCCGGAACAGGAGGAGGCAGATCTGAGCCCGGAGCCGGAGCTGGAACAGGAGGCAGAGCTGGGCCCGGAGCTGGATCTGGACCTCTGGGCCCTTGATGCCGCCGCTGCCGGCGCGGAGCCGCCGCCCTGGTCCCCGGGGCAGGCCGGGGACAGCCCGGGCCCGGAGGGCTCCGCCGAGCCCCCGCCCGAGGAGGAGCCGCGCCTCCGGCCGGTCTTCGACGCCCTGGACCGCGACGGCGATGGCTTCGTGCGTGTGGAGGAGTTCGTGCAGTTTGCCACGGCCTACGGCGCCGAGCAGGTGAGCACCGGCCACCTGTCCACCGTGGGCACCGGGGGGCGGCACCGCTTGGTTCCCGGTGGCCCCGCCGCCCCGGGGTGAGGGTGATGGTGGCTCCTGTCCGGGCTGCGGCCTTTGCAGAGCTCAGTGTCCCCAAGGACAGCGCTGGCATCGCCCCGGGTGAAGGGCACGCCGGCCCGAGCGGCCCCCGCTGCGCCCGGGAGGAGCCGGAGCCGCCGGGAGCCCGCGGCTCTTTGTTCTCCATCGCTGCCGCCCCGGGGCTCGCCTGGGCACGGGCACATCCCGGGGCCATCCCGGGGCTGCTCCGTGCCGCCCTTGCTGACCGTGCTCACCCCACAGCGAGAGCATCCCTGCCCTGGCAGCGCCTTGGAGCGAGGGGATCCTTCAGGGCCTCTCCAGCCCAGGCCATTCCCTGGCTCCCTGCTCGCTTGTCGGGCTCTGACAGCTTCAATGCGCATTTTCCCATTTCTGCTGCCCTGTGCCCTCGCCAGCCGCTGTTCCCCTGCCGCAGATCACAGCGATGCAATCTGGAGCTGCCTGGGCTGACCCAAAATGGAGCAAGCTCCGGCAGCGCTCACCAGGGCACGGAGATGGATCTGTTGTGTTTCGTGCATTGGCCTGGGCTGGCATCGCTACCAGGAAAAGGAGATTTATTTTTTTTAAGGAACGCAGGTATTGCTGTGAAGTTTCCCTGTGCCTGCCCAGGTCCGCTCTCGTTCTCCATCCCTGGCTGCTGCGCGGGTATTTAAGTGCCATGACAAAGCAAATCATGTGTGAAGGAGGCTTTCGGTGGAGGAGGGCTTTTTATCCCTGTCCCCCTGCTAGAAACACCTCGCAAAGATAAAACAAAGGCGATTATTTTAGAAAAACAGCCCTGCAGAGTGGAGACAGGGAACTTCTTTGTGTTGCTGAGGGGGCACTCTGTGCGCAGGGGGTCTCAAGGTGTGAGCTCAGGTACCTCTACCTGTGCCAGCAGAGAGGTTTTATTCCTAAATCCTCTCTTCTGCCCTGTCCTTCCAGGCTCCCTGTGCCATCACCACGTCCCACTGCTGTCCCCAGCAGAGGAGGCAGCAGCAGACAGTCCATGGAGGCTCCTGCACACGGTGCCACCTCCCTGGGCACCGTGTGCTTTCGTGTCCCTTGGCAGGAGCAGCCCAAGGACGTGGGAAATGGGGACAGGACGTGGCAGGTGGCTCTGGGGATGCAGCTCAGCCCAGCAGTGCCCAGTAACAGTGAGGGGATGGGGCAGAGCTCCAGAGGGGCCTCACTGGGATGGGAAAACACCTCAGAGCATGGCCTAGGAGGGGCTGTGGGCTGCTAAGGTCACCCCAAAGCTCAGGGGTGTCCCCAGAGGGTTTGTGCCATTGGATGGTGGCCACATGCATCTGGGTGGGAAGGGGCTCTCTGCAGCTCCCTGTTGCTCCTGCTGAGCACAGCCAGTGCTGCCCTAAATGATGCTTTGCAAAGCCATTTCTCTTCAGCTGGAGGCTGGCACGGGCAGCTCCTGGCACAGCTGGGGCTGAGCACCTTGGGGACATTGGTGTGGCAGGTCCTGGGCACTGCAGGGGACTGGCACAGGAGCAAAGGGGATGCCTGTGTGTGCAGGAGGACTTGGTGTGAGTCTGCAGCTTGGAAAGGATCAGGGCATGCTGAGGGAGGAGAGAAGGGGTTGGTCATTGTGTCTGTAAGCTCCCAGCAGATCAGATTTGTCCCTCTGTGATTGCCCAGGCAGCCATCACACCCTGACCCCTCTCCCACAGCACCCCAGGCACGGTTGTGGCACAACCTTTATTTACACCTTGAGGGTCCCTTTTACTCCCACAAGAATCACTGAGTCCAACCCCTGGCCCTGCACAGACCCCCAACAACCCCAGCCTGGGCATCCCTGTCCAAGCACTCCTGGAGCTCTGGCAGCCCCGGGGCTGTGCCCATTCCCTGGGGAGCCTGGGCAGTGCCAGCACCCTCTGGGGATGAACCTTTCCTGAGATCCACCCTGAGCCCCCTGATGTGTGGAGTAATAAAGGGAGGAGCTCTGGAGGAGTTCCTTGACCTATTTTTTGTGAAGCAGCTGAACTTGGGCCCAAAGTGGGGCTTGTGGCAAATGGAGATCCAGCTCAGGTGGGAGTTAAAGGGCAGGAACATCCCCAGAGGGTAAAACAGAATTCAGGGGACTGAATGGGACCCTGAAGGTGTAAATAAAGGTTGTGCCACAACCATGACTTGAGAGGGGTCGAGGTGTGGTGGCTGCCTGGCTAATCACAGAGAATTGTTCGTGAGGAACAAATTCCAGCCCCTTCCCTTTCCCCTGCCCTCCTGCCTGCTGCCCACAGGGCTGGAACAAATGGCTAAACTGGAGCAGGACCCGAGGCTGGGGAGGGCTGCAGGAGGGGCTCTGTGTGTGTGTGCCCACATGGATGAGGAGCTGGAGAGCAGCAAGTGTTGTCTTTAGCGCTCTGTCAAACACCAGAGGCATTCACGGGCTGCTGAGTGAGCACTGTCAGCTCGTTTGGCTGCAACAATTATTAGCTAAATGTCAAAGGGAAGGCACCAGCTGGCGTTGATTCCATAAGCACCGTGGGATTGGGGGTTTCTGCTCGGGTGAATTGGGTGGTTTTTCTCTCCATGGGGATCAAAAATGGGATTGGGATGGGGTTTTGCTTAAGCAGCTTGGGGTGTTGGAGGGCTCTGTGGGAGAGCTCTGTGTCAGTGCCGCCGGCATGGGGAAGAGATCAGGGCAGAGATAAAGGCAGTTTGTTTTGATCTGCAGAGATAACAGCTGATAGGGATGGAGATCTTGCCAGTACCTTCATCTCCCAAGGGTGATGGGAGCGTGGTGTGGGGGTGACACCTGAGCAAAGGGAAGGGACAGCCTTGGGATGGTCCAGAGCCCACCTTGAGCAGGGAAGGGACAGCCTTGGATGGTCCAGAGCCCACCCTGAGCAGGGAAGGGACAGCCTTGGGATGGTCCAGAGCCCACCTTGAGCAGGGAAGGGACAGCCTTGGGATGTGCAGAGCCCACCCTGAGCAGGGAAGGGACAGCTTTGGGATGTGCAGAGCCCACCCTGAGCAGGGAAGGGACAGCCTTGGGATGGTCCAGAGCCCACCTTGAGCAGGGAAGGGACAGCCTTGGGATGGTCCAGAGCCCACCTTGAGCAGGAAGGGACAGCCTTGGGGTGGTCCCCCACAGCCTCTCCCAGGAGGGTGTGTATCCTACACAGATTTGCTCCCATGGACCCCTGATATGCTCCGTGGATTTACAAACAAGAAAGGTCTTGAGGATAACTTAACTTTCCTTGAGAACCACTTGATTTTGCATCCAAAATCCCTGGACTGCTCCCAAACCACCTGGGAGGCAGCTGCCGGGGGTGCTGTGTTGTTATTCCCTCCTTCCTCCCCTTTTTCCCTGCGTTTCTCTGGGATCTGCTGCTCCCTGGAGCCACTGGCTGGGACAGAAGGATGGAGCAAGGCTGGCTTAAACAGGGAGCTGGGGACACACTTGATGTCATTTTGTGTCACCTTGCAAAGCAGGAGGGGTTGTGTCCTGCACTTCTGGGGGTTGCACAGAACCTAAAACCATTGTGCAACCACTTTAGGTTTAAATTTGTATTCCAAAATGAAATTTTCCTGTAGCTCTGCATTGTGTTTGGCTGGCTGGGGTGACAGAGCCCAAGGCTCTTCTGCCTGGATTCATTTCCAGCAGGCCCAGAGGAGAATGGATTGTTTGTGAGGCTGAGGACAAGCGTCCTGCTGGCACCTTGGGTTGTTTTTCCTTTTCTGTTCTGATCTAACAGACAATTGGAGAAGGAAAAGCCTCTTGCACCACATGATCTCACTGCCTTGGCTCAATTAAGAGAAATCCCAGAGTTTGTCTCACTCGCTTCCAGAGGCTGCTGTTCCAAGGGATCTTCAGCCTTTTTTTTCCCCTCTGGATGATCAGTTTGAGCTTCATTCCAGTGTGATTTATTCTGCTTTCTTTAACATTTCCATCCCTCAACACCAGTCCTGCCACCACATCAGCTCATCCTCAGCTGAGCTCTCCATATTCAGCTTTTAACTTTCCCTCTGGGGATGGTTCCTGAGGGCTTTTATCAGGTTTTTTTTGTACTTTTCTCAGCCTTTTGGAATGGGGTGCCCAGCTTGAGCTGAGAGCTGCAGAACAAATCCCATTTTGGGGCTGGCAGGGATCACTCCAGGCAGCAGCTGCAAAGAATCCTGCACTTGGTTTTTATTTTTGAATAAAGCCATCTGAAAAGCTGGCAGTTATTTCCTGTAATGAGGTCTGGATAGTGTCAAACTGCATTGCAAACCTTTTTAGAGGTTCCCCCTGTGGAGATGCCGCTGCTGTTCCTGCTCCCCTCTGATGGATCCCTTGGGAATTGGGTGCTGCATCCAGGGTTTCCTCCTTCCATCTCCCTGCCCATGCTGGCCTGGCAGCTGATTTGGGATCTCCTCCTTCTTCCCCTTGGTTTTGTCCCACTTCCCTGTGAGATATAATGATCTGTCACGAGGAAACCCCTTTTTTGTTTTTTATTTTTCCATTTTCTCATGGTTCTTACCCAGTTTGAGCAGAGGCAATGCTGCTTTTATGAAGAGATTTCTAAAATTACCTCTCATGCTTTCACAGGCCAGTGAGGCTTTAATTGCCTCCAACTGTGCTGCTGCTGCTGCTGCACCTTCCAGAGGCTTTAATTGCTGTTTAACTGCATGGAATTCCCTGGCCTGGAAGGAGCAGCATTCCAGCTCCTGGGATTTGGTTCCTGCTCTGGGATGGCACTGGGGATGCTCTGGCTGTGCAGGAGGTGCCTGTGGACACCCCGTGTGCTTTGGAACAGCAACAAATCTGCAATATTTTGCTTGCTTTGAGCAAGGGCACAGTTTTTTTCCCCTCCCCAAAGAAAATCATGGCAGGGAATTTGTGGGTTTGGGGAGTTTGGGTGGGAGCCCTTTCCTCTCCTCCTCCCTCCGCTCCTCCCTCTTCAAAGGGCTTTTACCACCATCAA